TACCCCATGTACCGTAATGCGTTTCTCTTTCTTCTTCAGCCGTTCGTCTGTTCAGCGTTGTCGCTGGTCCTGGCACTTTTTTTTTTTTAATAAAAACGTATATTAGCCGTAAATTTTTTTGTTTAAAAGCACATGCTTTACCGTTAGCGCACTGCATCATCATCGCTGTGCTGTCTCTTGGCTCCGGGTAAATCTCCTCCTCTGCACGATTGAGGCACTCTAAAAGCAACCGATCCTCCTCCTCGGGTGCGTCGTCGTTGTGAAATCGCGTCAATTCTTGTAAAATTTATTTAGTTTTAAAAAGCAGTTTATTTAAAAAATATTACCGATAAGTGGAAAATACATATCTTCGTGGAACGCATGATCAGCTATAATAGCCCTGGTGATACGGTTATCGCGCAGTCCCTGTTTGTTAATACACGCTACGGCTATCGAGAGTATGTACGGATCGTTTTTAAAATACCCTCTCTCGTGACCCCTGGCAAGCACGCGTAGAGTGCAATGGGCAAATACAGTTTTTAATCTAAGAGTTAACGTGTGTAAACCAAAATATCTTAATTCTCTGCACCACACTGGCGAGAATAATCTCGCGTTTATAGGTGTTATCAGACGTCGGGTCTTTACAAAATCGACAATACATTCGCGAATATGCGTTACAGATGACATTTTTTTAAACTGTTGATTGCTTTAGGCGATGAGTCTGTCTACCGGGACGTCGTGATACGAACTAAAGTCGTTGCGATATTAATTTCAAACCAGTGGATTATGTCTTAAAACGTGACCATGCAAAACAGCTGATTCAGCGGAAAAAATTAGAAAAATTGCCATACACCGTACGTGTCGAATGTTGCGTCAGGATGATGTTCGTGCGTCCATTGCATAGTACCCCAAATTATTCGATTCCTCCGCGTGCTCTCCCTCCTCATCGTACACATCGTGGCTTGTATAGACATCCCACGTGTCGTCGAGTGCTTCCAGGTACGCGTAAAGGCCGCTGGGCATGCTGACCACGCTCGTTCGGTATTCCTTATATTTTAG